ACAGAGGGGCCCTCCCTGAAGGCGGCCCACTCCCCGTGTGTCGGGGTGACAGGAGTTCAGACACACAGGGTGGACAGAGGGGTCCTCCCGGCAGGCAGCCCACTCCCCTTGTACTGGGGTGACAGTTACTCAGGGTGGATAGAGGGGCCTTCCTGGCAGGCGGCCCACTCCCCGTATGTCGGGGTGACAGGACTTCAGGCACACGGGGTGCGGGCGGAGCAGTGAGGCTGCTTGGATGCTGCTCGCCATGCTGCACCCCCAGTTCCTAGAGCGGCCCGTGGCCATGACCCCAGGGGAGGAGCATGACATGCCCACTGGCCACCCTTCTGACTCTTGGTGGCCACTGGGCACCCAGTCGTGAGGACTATTTATTCTCGTGTGACGAAGGTGCCAAGGGGTTCTACTCCAGGTCCACGGGAAAGGACTCCACCGCCTGCCCAGCACTCAGCCGACAGGCGTCACTGAGGGGGGTTCCCGTGGACTGGGTACAGTCCGCTGACAGGGATGTCAGCAGGCAGAACCCTAGTGCCAAGGACTGTGAGCTGAGGCTGCACCTGCCTGGCCCATGTGGTCTCACGCTCAGGGAGGAGTGGGAAGTGGGGCCTCGTAGAGTCCCACTGAACCCCAAGACTCTGATCCTCTCGGGTGTCCTCTAAAGTGTTCACTCACCCTACACGCTTCCTGGGGTACAGGCTTCTGTGGAAAAAGGAGACATATGACTCAGAGTAGCCCAGGGACCCGTCACGGGCCTCGTGGCTCAGACCACCAGGAAGGACAGAGCCAGGACCAGCCTCTGAGAACTGTCCTCAGAGCCTCGCCACCTCATCGTAAGGATCGTGACACAAAGCCAGCCCGGGTGCCGTGCAGCGGACGGCACCTCACAGCGTCCCATGTGTGTCGGGGTGCAACACGCTCCACGGGGTCTCCAGTGGGGAACTTGTCAGGAGCACACGCCAGGCCTTCCTGAGGGACCTCTGGTGGACTTTCGGTTCGCCGCCCAGGGGGTGTTCACCGTGTACACCACCCGGGACTCCATTAAAATCCGTAAAATACCGTGTCCTCGCGAGTGGTCGCTGTGTGACTCCCCTCTGAGGGGACTGAAGCAGGACCGTGCAGGCCACCTTCTTACCCGTTTGCTTGAGGAGGGAGATCTCCATGTGGAACCCTCGGTCTTCTGTGAATGCCTTAAACTCTTCCAGGGCCCGCTGGTTACTGCCTGAGTCTCGGCCTGTGAGGGAAGCGGGGTGAGGTGTGAGTCACAGAAGCACAGGGGTGGCCTGCAGCGTGAGAGCCTCAGGGGGATGACCCGGGGGGGCTCTGGAGACCCAGGACGTATCCTAACCCCTGACACTGAATTAAAGCCCGGGACTCAGCAGGGTGCACACCAGTCCCCTAAGGTCATGACCCCAAAGGCATGCACTGGGTGGGGGGCTACCGGAAGCCCCTCCTCCAGTGAGGATTCTGAACCCCACCACCCTTGTTCCCACGGCCCACACCTGCACTGAGCCCCTTTAGCAGGCTCCCCAGAAGGAACCAACATGGCCAACACCCTCATTCAGACCCCAGCCTCGAGAAGTGTGGGTCCATGTCTGTTCTCTGTGTCCCACTGGGCGTTCTTTGTCCAGGTGGCTGGGGACATGGGGCAGCTGCTATTTTCACGAAACCCGGTGCCAAGACATTGTGAGCAGGAGGGGAGCAGGAGGAGGGGAGCAGGCAGCCGAGGCGGGGGGTCGGTGGGAGGATGGAGGCTGGAAGGACCCCAGGTGACCACTCACCCACAAGCTTTGCCATGCGGACCTGCTGGCCCTGGAACTCGCCCTCACAATACAGGATGTAGTGGTCTTTCACATGAGTCTTTTCAATGAACACGAGACGCTTGCCCCCGTCTAGGGAAGAACAGGGACAGGGTCCTGCTTCAGCCAGGCAATCCTTTCTGGAAGAATCCACGGAGCTCACTCGGGGTGCACAGCCAGGTAGCAGCTGAGCTCCCTGCCCCACTTTCTCCTGAGCCAGGGATCCCCTCACTGTGAGGACTGGAGAGGGGGCCTCACCCCAAAGCGGTGAGCCCGTGCAGGGAATGGCAGGTGTGTGTGGGCAGAAGGTGGGGCCCTGGGCTTGGTCTCCATCAGTCCAACATGTCTCCCACGAGCACACAATGGTCCCCAAGGGCAAGCCCTAGACAGGTCCTTCCCTTCTGGGGACAAGCCTCTCATGTTGGGCTTTAGGACAGGTACTTCTGTCTTCCAGTAAAGTCCGGTGGGAGGGAGGGACATCTAATGAGGATCACAGGGAGTTACAAAGCAAAACCCACTGCTGTGGAGTCGATTCCGACCCACAGCGCCCCCAGAGGACAGAGTGGAACGGCCCCACAGGTCTCCAAGGCTGTCATCCTTACAAAAGCCCACCACCTCATCTTTCTCCCAGAGAGCAGCTGGTGGGTTCGAGACGCTGGCCTTTTGGTTAGCAGCTGAGTGATTTAACCATTGCACCACCACAGCTGCTTTCTGCAGGGAGTGGGCCCCTCCGTGGCCCCGGAACCCCTCTCCCAGCATGTGTCAGGGGCACAGCTGCCGGGTCCTGGCACTCACAGGCTGTGAATTTGCCGGGCTCGTTGGTTTCCTCCAGGACCAGCTTCTGCTCTTCGCACTGTCCATTCAGCCTGGATGGTGGAAACCACGCGTGGGCGGCGGGCCTGGCCCTCACCTCAGCCATCCCACAGCAGCCCTGGGCTCGCTTCCTCAAGCCCTGCACCAGGCCTGCCCTGGACTTAGCCTGGCTGGCTGCCCCACGGTGACACTCAGAGACCAGCCCACAGCCACTGTCGCCTGGCCCAGGGAGGGAAAGGCCCAGTAAGGGGCATCTGAAAAACTCCAGGTCACTGTGCCAGCGTCAGTGGCTTTCTGAGGGTCAGTCCTCAGGACAGACCACAGACATTGTCTCATCACACCCAGGGGAGTCCCACGGGGGGAGTCACACAGGGGGTGTCACAGGGAGGGAGTCCCCCGGGTGAGACACACGGGATACAGTAACGTAGGGAGAGTCCCACAGGGGCCTCAGAGGGGCGTTTTCACTGTCCCCCCAGCATTCTTCCTGGGTCATTGTGCAAAGCCTCTCCCTGCAGGGCTCTGAGTTATTTCAAGGGTGTAAGTCAAGGGTCTGAGTCTAGTCTGAGGTAAAGTGCCTCTCCCAAGGGGGCCTGTGGCAGATAGCAGCCCCCCAGTCAGCAGAGCAGGGGAGCCCATCCAGAGCCTCGCCTGCAAAGCCTCTGGGCTGAGAGTCATGGCAGGGGTGAGAGGGGACACAAGGCCTGCCTGTCCCCCACCCAGGCTCACACTGATTTGCAGAAAGCAAAGGCCCTGCAGGTCCCGGCCACCCACCCCATGGCACTCACAGCATCGCACCCTTGAATTCCAGGTTGCCTCCCTCAAGGACCGTGAGGGTGATGGGGCCCACGGCCTCCACCTTCTTCCCTGGGACCTCCTTGTCTGCTACCATGGCCTTCAGATACCATGTCCCCTGGACCTGAGAAGTTCCTCTCCATCAGGGCTGGGAATAACCCGGCCACCCCTCTAGGACCCCCCGCCCTGCTCCCCCTATGCAGCCCCCAACTTTACCCCAAATGCTGGCAACATGGGGCATTCCTGCTCCCCCCCCCCCCCCCTGCCAACAGCCAAGATGCTGTGCTGGGCCCGCCCAGGACACCGGCTCCAGGCCCTGCACCCCAGCCTGGACTATGGCACTAGAAGGGGCATGTGAGGTTGGCCCAACCCGTCCACGCCCCAGCCCCTCTGCACCCTCAGAGGCTCATCTGCCTGCCCACTCGGGGGGATGTCCATGAGGGCCTCCTTGGGTGGGGCCCGACCCTGGGCCTGAGCAGTTCCCTGCCCTCGTTGGCCAGCCCACACCCAGCTGCCCTCACAACCTCATCATGCAAGGCCGGGGCAGCCTGGGCCTGCAGGGTGGCGAGGAGGCCGGACACGAAGGTCAGGAGCAGTGTCTGCACCATGGTCAGGGTCCACGCGTTCAGCAAGGTCACTCGGTGGCTGTGCTGCCTCCCCACAGCTGCTCTTTATACCCTGGTCAAGTCCTCGGGAACCTGGCACAGACGAGGTCACCTCCTTCCCTGGCCACGAGCCGTCCCAATTGTGCACCAGAGCAGACAACTGTCGTTATTGTTGGAAACCACTGAATAGCAGCTTCTCAGGGCCATCGAGGTGGCCTCGTCCAGGGGAAAAATTTGCAGAATGTTTGGCTTGGAGAGAAAGCACTGTCAGGTGAGGGATGTGGGCTGTGACCCCTGCCCACAGGCCACAGCTCAGCAGCATGGCAGGGCTATGGAGGAGAGGGCTGCAGTCAGAGAGCCAGCTTTGGCCCTCAGTGGGCCTTCTTGTGGTCCAGGACAAGTCATTAATCTGCTGGCAGTCTCGGACTCACTGTAAAAGGAAAGGGACCTACTGCCAGGCGGGGTGCTGAGAGGACACCAAAGCCCTAGCCCCTATCCCTCCACGGACCAAAGTGTGACGTGCAGCCAGCTTTGAGCACAGTGATGGCTCAAACTGTGTCCCCCAAATAGGAGTCAGATTCTAATCCTGTTCCTGGAATGTGACCGTCAGCAAGTAGGGGAACGAGCTCACACAGTGTAGGACAGGTCTGCAATCTCACTGACTCAGAGTTATAAAACCCAAAGCCAACCCCCTGCCATCGAGTTGATTCCAACTCCTAGTGACCCCATTGGGTTTCCAAGGCTGTGTTTTGGTTCGCTAGTGCCGCTCTGTCAGAAAATACCATGAATGTGTGGCTTTAACAAACCTGATTTACTCTCTGACAGTTTTGGAGGTTAGAAGTCTGAGTTCAGAGTCACACAGGGGGAAACACACGGGGGTCATACAGGGGGGTCACACAGGGTACAGCAACATATGGAGAGTCACACAGGGGCCTCAAAGCAGCCTTTTCACTCACTGTCCACTCACATACGACCAGGACCCACTGACTCCAACATGACCCAGTGTTAACTAGTAACATCTTCAAAGGCCCTGTGTCCAAGCAAGGTCCCCTTCCCAGCTACTGGGGCTCATTAAAGCTTCAGTGTGTCTTTTTGGGGACACATTTCAAGCCAGAGCTCTGGACAAATGGGGATGGAGGGAGGGAGTGGAGCCAGGCTAACCACCATTGGCTCCCCCGGCCTCTGGCTTCCTGAGCTAACATTATCCCAGACACACGGCAGCCCAAAGGCTATGGCCAACCAATCTCACTGATTGGTCTACAAGATGCCCAGAAAACACCCCTAAAGCCCCAAACATCTAAGATATGTACAAGGAAAGGCTGCATGGTGCCCCCAGCGGGGTGGGGAGAAGTGTCAGGAAGACTAAGGCCCCACCCCAGAGGTGCCCATAGGGACTGGACTTGTGGGGCCATCCAGGAGAGTCACAGACATTGATGTTTTTGTGGCTTGGTGGACACTGATGGTGAGGAATTAAAAAGAAGCCGAGAGTCAGCCAGGGGGAGAGGTCAAAGGTGACAAGGGAAGGCACAGCATCCTGGGAAAGGGGGCAACATGGGCTGTGGAGCTCAGGCCACCGTGGTCTCCCAGCACAGTGTGGGCGGCTTTAACAGACAGTTTATTATCTCGCAGTCTGGGCGCCTAGATGCCTGAATTTGGGGCAAGTTCTGGGGAAGGCCCTTGGCTCAGCTTCTCTTGTTCTTCTCGGTGTTCCTTGGAGGTCCCCTGTGGCGTCTGGCTTTGCCCCGTCCTTGCTCTGGGGCCTAATCTGCTGCTTGTAATATCTCACAAGGAACTCTGGTGCTGCAGTCGGTGAGGCGTCTGGTTGTTAACCAGAAGGTTGATGGTTCAAGCCCACCAGTCGCTCAACAAAGAAAATGAGCTAGCTTGCTTCTGTAAAGATTTACAGCTCGTGGTGGTTAAGGTTGTGTGTCAACTCAGCTGGGCCTGGCTGAGTGGCTGGGCAGTTGGACGTAGTATGCCCCATGGTGAGACTGGTAATCAGCTCCATGGTGGACTCTACTGCGAGCAGCTGAGTAGCAGCCTTTGGGTATGTGGTCTGCTTCCCATACATAAGCACCAGCTTTGGGATGGGTTTCTAGCTTACGGCATGCTTGGACCCTGCATGTAGCCATGTCATTGTTCAGCAGCGTGCTCTGCTCTGCTGACCTTGGACTTTCAATGGACTTGAATCAATGGCCTGCCGTGTGGTTTGGTGACCTCGGGACTGTCAGCCTTGGGTTTGTCAGTCTCAGCAGCCAGCAGTTGCGCTAAGAAAAGCCTCCAGCTTCAGTGGGCTGGGAGCAGGAGGCAGAGCTGAAGCCCAAGGTCGAGGGGCTTTCACTCAGGATGGGGATGGGAGGACGAGAGGTGTGGCGACATGTGGGGACTGAATGGCCACCAGCAGAGGCAGCTCTCCAGGAATGAGACAGTTCCCCAAACCAACAGGATGCACCTTGAAAACCACAGCAGCTGACCTTTTCCACATCAGAGGCAAACCTACCTCAAAACAGCCAAATATTTGCTCACAATTACCCGGCTCACTGGGCCCTGCAAAAGCCAAGGTCAATATCTGCATGAGGGCACTGGCTCTAACTGACTGGGCTGCACCAGGGGCACATGAAGCTGCCACTTGGTTTGGCCATTGTGGCCTCAAGCGCGAGCACTGACTGCTAGACAGTGGGGCCAGGCCCACCCGGCCCGTCCAAGGCCCAGCACCCAGCAGCTTC